TGCAAGAGAGTATATTAAGAGAATTGTCGAAGCTAAGCCAGTCTCACAAATTGGATTATTTAAATGTCAGCAAATGTACATAGTTTTTCTTCAGTATTTTTTTTTTATGTTGGCAAAGCAGCTGTAAAGCTGAGTACATAAATATGAAATAATGATAGAATTAGCTGAAAGTAATTCTCAGGGAAGTAAATTCCAGGCACTATGTTCAATGTTTCACAGCCATTTTCTTAATATTTTCAACAATCAATAGAAAGCACTTGTCAATATTGTTCCCATTTCGTGGGCGAAGAGATTGAGGTTTAGAGGGTCTCATAGCTATTCAGCAGTGAATCAGAATTCAATCTGGCTGTCTCCAGACACTGACCTCTTGAGCACTAGCCACACAGCCTTCAACCTGTGAGGCACAGACCCCCTTCACGGTCTTGTTCAGTGATTCAGCAACAAAACACCTACTCCCTGCCCTTGGCCCCAGGCTAAAATTAGACTCCCATACGGGCAAAGCATGGCCCACTCTTTCCCTTCACCCTCAAAGATCTTTGTGGCTATCTCATCTATTGTATCAGCATCTTATTCTGAGAATATCACCAGATGAGATAGCCCAGCTGAGGGCCATCAAAACCCCCTTTCAGCCCAGCCAGTGTAGCTCAGCAATTGAGCATCAACCCAGGAACCAAGAGGTCACCAGTTCAATTCCCTGTCAGGGCACAAGCCCAGGTTGTAGTCTCGATCCCCAGTGCGGGTGCATACAAGAGGCAGCCGATCAATGATGCTCTTCTCTCATCAATGTTTCTATCTCTCTATCCCTCTCCCTTCCTCTCTCTCTAAAAATCAATAAAAACATATTTTAAAAAAACACAAAACATTTCAGCAGAGGTGACTTCCTTTATGCAAAAGTTGAGCTGTATTATGGCACTTCTTATTTGCTTTTATTTTCAAGAGTCTGAAGTCTTTGGGTAAAATAGAATAAATAAATAAATAAATAAATAAATAAATAAATAAATAGGAAGCATCAAATAAACACCGCTCCTAAAGATCATCATAGCTTAGAAAGTTTGAGGTATCCACTTACCTTAATCAACCAGAGTCTCACATACAGAGAGGGCTGTATGGCTGTTAAAAAATTTGGATTTCTTTTCACGGTGCATTTTAGCTTTTAAACTGTGAGCATTTTGTGGAGTATGCATTTTTTCATGTAGCAATAGCCCCTTTTCACAATTTCAAGTAAATTTGAGGCTTCCTCCCTTCCTAGACAGAATTTCACTCCTGCCAGATGGCTACTTTTAGTAACAGTGGGCACATGCATTTTCCTTTTGGTGTAAAAATGAAAATATTTTGCTAAAATCTTACAGAAGACTCTGATACAAAGTACAAAACACAGACAAACTAGTACTACAAAAGCCCAATGCTGCCCCGAGGAACTGGACATCGGAGTACATCACCCGTCTCCCATATCCACAGTCCACATTGTTATTCACAGAGTTAAAGGACAGTCTCACTGGATATATGAACTGTGACTGGATTTTGATGATATTATGACATCATTGATAATTATTTATGTGTGATACTAATATTTTTAAAGAATTCTTATCTTTTAGATATATATTAAATATTCGTGAATACAATGACGTCATGTCTGGGATGTGCTTCAACAAATAATCCTAGGTTAGTAGTGAGACAGAGAGGGGCATAGAGGAAACAACACTGGCCATGCATTGGCAACTGTTGTAGCTGGTGGCGAGTCCATTACACTACTGTACTCCCAATATACTATCTTCTCTGCTAGTGTCTATTAGTTGGCACAGTGGTGGGAAGTGTGTGGGTCTTCACTCCAGATGTAGGGTGACTGACTCTTCCCGGCTTTAGCACCGGCCTCACACATCCCAAAAAGTCCCTGGATCCCAAGCCACCTGGGACTATTGGTCACTCCGCTTAGCCATGTGATTTGTGTTCCATCTCTGCCACTGTTCATTCTGGAACAGGGTGCAAAGCTCTTAGGCCTCCGAGACTGTTTTCTCACCTCTAAATGGGGATAATAGTCTACTCGCTGGTCTGTTCTGAGACTCTTATCAGATACTAGATGTGAACGTGCTTTGTGAACTGTGAGATACTACACAAGAATGATGTGTTATCACAGTGCAGGGTCCCTGTGGCTTATGATGCCCAGGCCCCAGAACCCCTTGCTTTCTTCTCAAAAGCTCAGGAAATCCCCTTTTCTGCTGGGTGCTTCACAAGGTGGGTGGAGGATGTGGAAGATTTCCATGGCCTTGAGCCTGGCCTCTGGAGTATTCCTCACATCCTCCAGGACTCCCAAAGCTCTCCTCTATCTCCATCCCTACTTCGGGTTTCATCTTCCCTGGGTCCTATTTCCTGAGACCCTACAGGCAGGGAGTTGAGGGACAGGAGGAAGAGGCCGCTGTGTGGCTGGGCTCTGGACACCAGGGGGCGCGCTATGGGGAGGAAGCAGGAGGCAGGGCCATCATATAATTTATAATTTGTGTGTGTGTGTGGGGGGGTGGGGGGGTGGGGGAGAGGGGACATGGGGTTATTTCCTAGAAGGCAAAAGTGCCCCAAACCTACAAAAGATGTGTAATACTGGAGGAAGATAGAATCGAATTGTGCTTGATAGAATCTACACATCGTTCCATGGATTCTCTCAGCTAACTAAGTTCATTTATTCATATTCAGTTATATGAGGGTTCTCCTTTCATTAATCCAGAGACAGCTTCTCTTGAATAAGAGCTACTCCATTCCAGCAACAAGAAAGAGGCTGGGACTTGGTGAACCGCTCTACCTACCTGCTTGCCTATTTATTTGTATAGATTTACCTAAAATCCCAGTTTGAGAATTGACATGCAACATTTCTGTGTGGGTAATGTTTGGTGGATTGATTAATTCTGCTTAAACTTTCTGATTTATTTATTAAGAAACCTGGAATATTACTTGGGATTGAACACGGCTTTTGGTATGTTCTACCCTTGAAACCTTTATAAAAATGTTCAACAACTTGTCCCAAGTCTTTTATCAGTGGTTTTCAAATTGTGAAACTGTTTTTAAATTCTGAAGACCCCACCCCGCAGTTTCTCTTCAGAGACCTCTCAGGGGCTGTCTTGGGTTGGGGGGGGGGTGCAGTATAAGATGATATCACAGGCAGAATGAAACTCCCACCCCCTCCCCACCCCTTCTCTATTTACAGCAGCTCTGGTGGTTTACTTGTGGGTTACCACATGTTTTTATTTGAACAATAGGTTCTGTAACTGGTCATTCTTTTTCCATGATGACATTTTTTGAGTACTGACGTACCTTTAAATTAGACAAGTGTGTGTGTAGAGCAATGGAAAGGAAATAATTTATATATTAAGGATCAGATGTTAAATGTGACATTTATACTCCACTTATCCTTTTCAACATCTGAATATTAACTCTGGCTCTTACTGCTTAGAAAAGTCTTATAAGCTTTGACATGCCCTGAGATCACAACTTGTTGGAAAATCCTAAGTTCTATTTTTGGCATTAAGATAAATGCTTCTATTCAGGTTTAGGGTTGACAAGGAAGAGAGCAAGGGGGCATGCTGCAATTTTAGCTCCTAAAGGATCTATGTAACACGTAGGTTAGTTGTTTCTAATTGACTTCTGATAACAATCATTCAACCTGATAGACCAGTGGTTCCCAAACTTATTTGGCCTACCGCCCCCTTTCCAGAAAAAATATTACTCAGCCCCTGGAAATTAATTTTTTTTAAATTTTAATAGCAGTTACTCATCGCCCCCAAATGCACCTGTGGCCATCACCGCCCCCCTGGATCGCTGCAGCGCCCACCGGGGGGCGGTAGCGCCCACTTTGGGAATCACTGTGATAGACCTTCTCTTGGATAAGAACCTGGCACAACCCTAGCTGGTTTGGCTCAATGGATAGAGCGTCGGCCTGTGGACTGAAGGGTCCCTAGTTCGATTCTGGTGAAGGGCACATGCCAGAGTTGGTGGCTTAATTCCCAGTAGGAGGCATGTAGGAGGCAACCGACCTATTATTCTTATCTTTGGTGTTTCTATCTCCCTCTCCCTTCCTCTCTGAAATCAATAAAAATATATTTTTTAAAAATCCCCCTCACCCCCCAAAATGAACCCGACACAGACAAACCCACCTATAAGGTGGGGGAGGGGAGGACTTGCATGTGAGCATCTGGAACAAAAGGACTTTTTTTTCCCCATTAAAAAAAAAAACTTCCTGGAGTTGATTTCCATAAGTGTACATTTCCTCTTCATAATCCTAGTCATTAATCACCAAGTAGTGAATAATGAACACCTGCATGGATCATAGATTCCACAATCCAACCTGAAAACTCAAATGTCGGGTTGTCTCCTACTCTATAATCTACCCCCAGGGTCTGTTCCTGACTTGTTTGGCATCTCTGTTTTTGGCAGAACTGGAATCAGGGAATAGGATTTCAACATATTCTTACCCCTTCTCTCACCTTTTCTTCACTCCAGGATCTCTCAACCTCCACACTGTAGACATTTTGGGCTGAATAATTCTTTATTGCAGGGGGTGGGGGCCTGGGGTGTCCTGTGAACTGTGGGCTGTTTGGTAGCATCCCTGACCTCTACCCAGCAGATGCCAGTAACACCCCTTTCCCAAGCAAGACAACTAAAAATGTCTCCAGGAATTGCCAAATTCTCCTTGCATGAATGGAGATTTTGGGTGGGAGTGGGAAGGGGGCAAAACTGCCCCCTTTGGGAACCACTGTTCTCTACTCCATGAGGACCCTGACACTGAGAATCCGACCAGAACTGCCTGGCCCTCACCAGATTTGGTTCTGAAAGAAACCTTAGACCCATGTAATTCACCAAGTCAATGCGCTCAACCCTGGCTGCACATGGCAGTCACCCCAGACATTACAAATGACCAGCTGGGCATATTTTTTAAAAGCTCCTCAGAAGATCTGTGTGTAGACAGGAATAGGCAATCTCTGAACTAAGTGTACTTAGCAGTCTTAATACTTATAAAAACTTAAACAAAAAACACAATTTTATTTCAAGTAGGAAATATCCAAGTAGTCTCAGAGCAAGAAAAAAACTCCATATGTCAGTAGATTGTAGAACACAGGCCACTGGAGATATTTCACGGTAGCTTTCTGTTGTTCTGTTATTATCGCAGAGCAATTGGAAAACGGGATCCCTCTAGGAATTCTGGGCTTTTTAAGTTTGACTGAAGGTGCATCACTTGACGTAGAGCAATTTATCTGCTGTTTGTAACTGACAGAGACTCTTTTGACCAAAGGACATCAATTAGAGGAGTTTAAAGGGAAAAGCCTAACCAAGAGGAAATTTCCTGGATGTAAGGTTTGGGATCGGTAGGGAGGGGAGATCAAGACTGAGCAATACCAACAGTGGCCTAGGAAAGGAGGCCTTCTGAGGACGCTTTTCAGCAGATGAAAAATACGATCAAATCGCTCCCTCTTTCGTTTGAAAGCGCCAGAGCAGGGCGAATAAAACCAGACAACGCAGGCCTTTTATCTTAGGATCCAGGAGAATTAGGTCCAGGAGGTGTACATATTCTGGCAGCTGCCAATCCTGCTCCTTCTGGCTGGCCGGTAAAGGCTGGCCTTCTGGAAGGTGTAGGATACATGAGACATTTGACTTTCCACCTGACCCAGACCGTTCACTTGGCTTCCCTGAGATTTTGTTTCCATATCTGAAAAGGGCCGGCAGGGCAGTTACCTCAGACAGTCCCTATGCGGATTAAATTAGGTCATAGGTGTGAAAGTGCTTTCTGTAATCTAAAGCCCAATAGGTATGCTATTTCCAGGGACCTTCCATCCTGAAGATTATACTAGACTCAGAGCCAGTGGCTTTCCATTTTGGCTTCTAGGGCATGCATAGAATAATGGACGAGTCCAGTCATTGACTTCACTTGTCAAATGTCTGTCCTCACATGGGCAATTAGGAAAATACATTTGAGCTAAAAATACAGAGTGATGTATTTTTCATGACTGAGGTTATGATTGTATTTTAGGTTATTACATACTAAAGACCAGGAAATTAATTGGTGCCCTCTAAAAATGCAAAGAGCAAGAGATTAATCTGATAAATGGTTTCCATTAAAATAATTCCATTTGGTTTCCCAAATTTATCTTGTCTCCTGAGGTTTCTGAATGCCACAACGTCCTTCTCCTATGCTTTCCAGCTGCATTCTACTGCTTCCTACATCCCTGGGTTTGGAGAATTTCAATACTTATAAATAATAGTGGCACGGCAAAGCTAGAGCATTAACCCTTTAGTTCCCTAACTCATGGATATGTTAACTGAAACCACTGTTTCATCTTTCAATTGAGTTTTGGTTGATATTCAGAATGTAACCTTTATGGGTTTGAAAGTAAGGTTTTTGGTGATGCTGCTTCATACAGATAATGCAATTGAGACCATTCAAATAAGTCCAAGGTCAAAGTTTCGAGTTACTAGTACTCACTCAGCAATAAAAATTCACATGAAAGAATGAAATAAACAGGGTGGAGAGAAGGCTGTTTCAGGAGACAATCCATGCTACTCTGAGGGCAGGGGGAACTGGTAGAGAAGAGGTCAGTGTTTTCAAAACTTCATTCAGATGCTTTTCCAATCAGGTGTCCCAAGTGGCTAGCAGAGAACATTGAGCAGATCCACCCCAGTCTTATGAAAACATAGGCAGCTGGATGCCATCTTTCCTGAAGAGAACATCAGCTCAGCCAACTGTAAACCTAGAACTGAGCATGCCGCTACATCACCACACTAAGTTCATGTTTCTCTAGTTTGTCCTCCGATGGTTCTGCCTCGAAGTCTGGATTCGGGTTTGGGTGGTGGATTTCAATGAGAAGAATATAGATGAGGCCTCCAATGGCAGCACCAACCATAGGGGCCACAACAGGAATCCACCAGAAGTTATTTCCAACTCTGAAATCAAACAAGGAATTAGTGATACACCACTTGGCTTTCCTCCTCGTATTACTGCTAGTTATTCACTAACCAGCTAGTCTTTCTCATGCTTCTGGCTCCCTTATCAATCAGCAAGAGCTAAGTATAAGAGCACTCACCACAGCTTGGCAACCTGGATTCTCTAATACACCTGACTTCAGATGGTCCACCACTGTCCTATTGGTACTTATGAGAGAATATGTCCCATTTTTTATTTTCCTTTCAGAAAATATAGTCCTACAGTATGGTCAAAATTGAGGGCATGTAATAAAGGTTCAGGTTGATTACTCAGGAGTTTACTTTTCCTTATCCTGAAACAATGAGTCCTGAGGATTATGAATGGAAAGATGTGGAGAGATTCTTGGACATCATTGTAATGTGAGGGCAGCCACAAAATAATCAGGAATGCTTATCAGTGAAAACGAATTTAAAAAATCAGAGGTGGAATACGAATTAGGCACTAACTATAATTTACTTCAGCGCTTATTTTTTGAGGTAACTAAGCTTAAAGTTATTTTCTGATAAGGCTATTGTGCTGTGATTCCCTCTCCCCTCCAGAAACCCTCAATGCCAGTACGTTATATTAAGGGTATAATTCTGTGAGAAAGCAGCTGTCTTTGTGAATTGTCACCATCTTTTTAGGAGACAGGAAATCCATTTAAGTAACTCAGTAGAAAGGACCGTGAGTGCTCAGAAGCAAGCAACACTATACAATATATGGTTTAAGGAGCTATACATTTGAGATAAAACTTTTTTAAAAGCAGGGAAGTAGAAAAAAAATTCAGGACACTGTGGAGGAGGAAGGGAAAACAGGAGGAGCACACGGGTGCACAGGAGGGTTTCATAGTGTTGCGTTTAAGGGAAGGACTCCTGGCGGTGCGTCTCACCCGCGTGCTCAATAGCTACACGTAAGGTCTTTTGCTTTGTATCACATTTTGATAAGAAAGGATAATGAAGAAAATAACCACGAACAGGAGGCCTGTTCTAGGAGTCACGAGACCTGGTTCTAATCTCAGGATAGAAGGACTTTGGGCAAGTCCCCCGTGGTCCCTTCCACTTGGATCATACAAGTACTCTTAGATCATCAATGCAGGCTCCCGGGAACAGCCCTGAGACTGAACACAATGGCCACCAGGTGTCGCTCTTACTGCACGAGAGAGAGGGCGCGAAACTGCCGTTGCAGAGCCCCTTCCCGGGCCCCCAAATCCAGATGGAAGTTTCTATGAGAGGCACAGGGGCTTTAAAGGACTAGGAGGTTCTTTATTTCCTTTCCTCCATCACTGTTTTTTTTTAATATATATTTTATTAATTTTTGCAGAGAGGAAGGGAGAGAGATAGAGAGTTAGAAACATCGATGAGAGAGAAACATCGATCAGCTGCCTCCTGCACATCTACTGGTACATCCCCTTGACCGGAATCGAACCTGGGACCTTTCAGTCCGCAGGCCGACGCTCTATCCACTGAGCCAAACCAGTTTCGGCTCCATCACTGTTTTATGGTGAATCTGTCATTTCACCGATTGGGGTCCAAGATACCTGCCAGGACGCATGTTCTCCTTCCCCTGAATAGACCCTCCTCCTTCTATCAGAGCTGAGCGCCTTGTGCCGGGGCCACATGTCATAAATGGAGGAGCTTGCACGTGGTTCCCTGCCAGGTCAAGTCTTACAAGTACACAGGGTCATTTGCATGCTATGATTTTGGGGGAAGCTGGAAATGTCTACGTTAATTAAGGTACCAGCATCAGGGATTCATCCCTTTGGGTGAACTTAAAAAAAAAAAATAAACTACCCCTGAGATCCTTCATCAAATCATTAGCATCTTAATGTGAATCCATGGAGAGAACTCCAATGGGGAACATCCTAACATTTCCCGGAAAAAGGAAGAGTCAGCCGAGGTCTGTTGACTTTTGCTCTGGTCGTACCTCCTGCTGCCCCACTTCCGGTCAGCCTCACTGCTTGCCCTAAGGGGGCAAGTGAGGGTCTGAGAAGAAGGCATTCTTGGCTTTATCTGAGGGTGTGGACCCAAGCTAGGATACCTACTGAGATGCCGACCTTGGATATAGAAACTTGAAAGGGAGGGACACTCTAGGAACACTTTGGAGACCTGCTGTCTCTTAAAGGTTTTCTTGGGAACTTTTTGGTTGAGGATAACCAGCAAGCCTGGCCTTTTCCTAACTGATTGCTGCCCCCTCTAAAGGAGAGATCCTTTTTAATCCATTTTCTATAATGATGTCAGATTAAATTTGCTAAATTGAAGTTCTAAACATGCCAAACGTCTGCCCTAACTCCTCTGCTGCTCCCTATAACCTTCAGCACAGGGAGCATCAAACCCCCATATTTTCCTTTTTAGGAGTCTAGGGCCTCTATGGTCTGCCAAAAATTTGCCCTTTCCAACCTTCTTCATGCACCCTTCCAGCCAGACTGGATTGCTTGTTATTGTAACACTAGAGGCCCGGTGCACAAAATTCATGCATGGGGGGGGGGGGCCCTCAGCCAGGCCTGCACCCTCTCCAATCCGGGAACCCTTGGGGAATGTCCGACTGCCAGCAGTCAGACATCCCTCTTGCAATCCGGGACTGCTGGCTCCTAACCGCTCACCTGCCTGCCTGTCTGATCGCCCCTAACCACTCTGCCTGCCTGCCTGATCCCCCCCCAACCACCCTCCCCTGCCTGCCTGATCGCCCCTAACTGCTCACCTGTTGGCCTGATCGCCCCTAACCACCTCTGCCTTGGCCCCCACCACCGTGGCTTTGTCTGAAGGAGGACTGGGCGACCGGAAGATGTCAGGTCAACCCATTCTAATTAGCATATTACCCTGTTATTAGTATAGATTATTAATATAGATTCTGTGTTTCCTGATGAACCAAAGTAAGTTCCTTTCCTATACAGAGAAGTGATGAGTGGATGGGATGAGCTACTGTGGCTTTATAGGGGGGATTGGGAAGGAAGTAATGGGCAGATTTTGTCCTGGGAGTTTGGTACTGACCGTTGACATACTTCCTCAAGCGCATTATGAGGTTGATAGCACAGGGTCTTGCAAAATTTCCTGTGCACAGGCTCTCTTTTATCTCTGTTCTGCTAGGATTTTTTAAGACCCAACTCAGCTCTTTCTTCAGTGGCACCTTTCCCAACTTCCCCAGGCAGAGCTAGTCACTCCTCAGAACTTTGTTTTAAGGGTTGCCAGAGTCCTTATTACATTGCTCAAGGCTAGTGACTTAGCAAATTTTGAAATTTTCTTGCCTAGCTCAATGACACAGCATGAGATAGGGTTCAGTGAAGAATTGTTGAATGACATGATGAATGAAGCATAGCTAGCATGGTTTCCTAGAAAAAGCCCTGTAGTAGTATTGAAAGATATAAAATCTAGTCCAACTTTGTCACAAAGTAAATCTGTAGACAAGTTATACAATCAAAATGTGCACATAAAACCATACACCAATATTATATAGGACAGGTCTATCTCTGTGGAATTCCTCTCTCTCTCTCTCTCTCTCTCTCTCTCTCTCTCTCTGTCTGCCTACCTGTCTCTCTCACACACACATACACAGCCCCAATATGTCACAAATCACCAGTGAGACAGACATTCCACACTCATGACCAGGGTATGCACTAAACCTCCACCTTCCCGTCTGTACTCTCCTGGACTCCAATCCAAAGCACAGCCCTCCCTGATAAAGCTCAGCATGAATCTTTCTCTCCCCTCCACCCCACCACTGTTACTTACCTGAAGACATCAAACCCCCATCCTGCCAAAGCAGTGAAAAGTCTGGGACTCAGGTCTCGAGCTGGATTCATGGCACAGCCACAGTTCAGTCCCAAAGAGGAAGAAAGGACAATGATCAGGAGGCCGATGGCAATGGGCTGTAGGCCTTTGGGGACTCCCCAGTTTCTGGAGTCAAAGATGGCAAAGACAACCAGGAGGAGGAACATGGTGGACATTACCTGGGGAAAGAGAAAATGTTCAAGGGGGTTAGCTTATAATCTGCCTGTTTGCCCACCTTAAAATCCAGCCCTCTGGTTAAGAACAAACCTAGTAATAACTAACATACACTAGGTGAGCACACTGTGCCATTCTTTTTTTTTTTAAAATTGATTGTGTATATGAAATATGTTGTAGGGTGTTTTCGTTTGTTTTGTTTTTGTTTTAATTTTAGAGAGAGAGGAAGGGAGAGGGATAGAGAGAGAGAATCATCGATTGACTGCCTCCTGCACACCCCCCACTGGGGACGAAGCTGGCAACTTGGGCATGTGCCCTGACTTAGAATCGAACTATGACCTCCTGGTTCATAGGTCGATGCTCAACCACTGAGCAACACAGACTGGGTCAGATACTCTTCTTGCCATAGCAATTTCAAACGTGATGGTAATATTCTCCTTTACAGATTAGTTACCTGACAAGGTTGCGGAATTAATGGCAGTCAGTGGACCCAGAGAGTTAGGCTCTAGAGCAGTGATGGCGAACCTATGACACGCGTGTCAGAGGTGACACGCGAACTCATTTTTTTGGTTGATTTTTCTTTGTTAAATGGCATTTGAATATATAAAATAAATATCAAAAATATAAGTCTTTGTTTTACTATGGTTGCAAATATCAAAAAATTTCTATATGTGACACGGCACCAGAGTTAAGTTAGGGTTTTTCAAAATGCTGACACGCCGAGCTCAAAAGGTTCGCCATCCCTGCTCTAGAGACTAACTTTACTATACTCTCCTGCTAAACCACTACCCAGCTAAACAGAAACACAAACTTCAAGCTGGAAAAATGAACAAAGAGGCTCATTCAAATTGGCAAGATGAATAATGTGAGATATCAATAGGAAAATGAGCAAAGGAAAGGAACAGAAAATTCATTAAAGAAAAGGAGAATTAAGAAACAAATGGGAAAAACAGATTTGTAATGAAAACAAATGCAAACAATACCAAATGTTAGGGAAATGATACCAGTTCTCCCAGGCTTTTCCAGTAGAACTGAACATGTACCACACGTTTAAAAAGAAACTCAGCAGTAATTTAGCAACATGCATTTAAACCCCACAAAATTATTTATTCATTTTGACCCCATTGAATGGTTGAGAACCATACCGTGAAAATAATCTAACATATGGAAAAATCATAAGGTTTCTCAGGGATCCTACTTTTCATGTAATTCAAGCCCAATGTATCTTATAATGAAGAAGATGACATTGGAGTCCAGAGCTGTGGAAGGAGCTTTAGAGGTTCCTCCTGTGAATTCAGGCGCTTTCCATAAAGCCAACTTTCTCTCTCAATCCTGGGCTTGCCCTGCAAAGGCTGATGTCTTAGTTCCTTGAGATTTGGACCCACAGCCCCCTTCCTACACTCTTGTTCTGTTCTGAGAATGTGACAAAGTGAAGCCTTCAGCCCCTATAACTTTCCCACAGAGACGGCCTCTCTCACCGAGCCCTCTAGCAACGCTCTCCTCCTTGCCCCCTCAGGAGAGTGAGCTGGCCCCAGGCCATTTCAGGGTCAGCTTCTCTCAAGATTACTAAATTGTATAGCTCTAAATATTGTTCAAGCATATTGTATATAATTTAATTAATGGACAGTCATTCTTTTACCCAATAAATATTTACTGGCACCTACTGAGCCAGGTACAGTTCCATGCTGTTCCTCATTCGAGGAGTACAGGGCCTGGTTCTCTGACAAGTAACAGATCACTCTTGCAGGTGATAATGTCAGGGATAGAAGGCAAGACTGGCATACCTCGATGTGGGGTTGGGAGGATGAGAAGAGATAAACCAAAGAACTTACATACATAGCCCATGGACACGGGCAATAGGGTAGTGAAGACCTGGCGGGTGGGTAGGGGCTGGGAGGAAGGCAGAATGTCTTTTCTTGTGGTCTCTCCATTTAGATCGTTTGCACAAAAGAGACACAACCGTGCAGCAAACACCATTTGCCCCTACAGAGGCTGAAATGTTCAGTCATCCACTGTCTGGAATTCAACTGCTATGAACGAGTGTATATATTAAAGCAGAAGTAGAAAACTCTTTTAATGGCATCGACTTTGACAAAGCAAAAATCTGTCAGGAAAGCTTGGGTGATACCTAGTGACCTCTGGCTTTGGAAACACAGCCTCTCCCTATTGATAGACGCATAGCACTCCCATGCAGTCCCCTCATTAAATCCTGTCTTTTCGCCAAAGTTAGCTCTCGATTGAATGGATACTTACTTGGTCTGCAAATGCATTTGTCAGAGATAGATACGGAGCTGGGTACGTTGCAAAAATGATTGCTGTTGCATTTTCTCCCACGATGAGGAGTTTCCCATCAGCAAAGGACATAATTCCATCTACGGAAGACAGAGTTCCAGCAGGTTAGCATTCTCTGGGAAGGGGTGAGGGAGGTCTATGCCAGGTGTTAACCACCGCAGTCAAACACTCAGGTTTAGTTTAGCAGATCCATATTGTCTGCCTTTCTTCACTTTATATGCCCAGAGAAGCCATAGAATGGCGGGTCAAGGCCAGACAGTCCTGGCTGCCCTCAATGGTTCACTCTAAATGTGAGCCATATCCTTAGCCAGTGGGTCCTGGAAACAATCATCTTTTGGGGGAATTGTTGGCATTTTTTGTATTGACCAAAAGCCAATGTGGAACTTGAACCTACTCGAGGCAGAATTCATAATTCTAATAGCAGTCCACAATTCGAGGGTGTCATGGAAGAGTGAAGTTGCCCTTGGAGCAAGGGAGATAGGTGCCCCCAAAGAGCCAGTCCGACCCCAGCTCTCTCCTACCACCGTTCATTTCCCTCATTTTTCCAGGGAAAACCAAGACCAGAAGGTCAGATGATTTATTTAAGTCATGTAGCTACTTATTTTGCACATGTTAACATTGTAGTCCTGGTTGGGCCTAAATATGAGCTTCCTTTAAGTTCTGCTCTCTCTTTTAAGTTGTGACCATTTTCATTGAGAGGCTTCATGAATTTTCCCTAATGATAATGTTGGTCCCATTATTTAGAACTTAGAGCTTTTCAAATTGCCTGTCAATTGTAGAGTGCTCCCTATTCTTGTCTTATTGTACCTCTTGTAAGTAATTCTGACATTCAGGGTATGCCCAGCTCTCCCTAACCTCTGGACTCAGGGGTCTTACTCACCATAGTAAATACCAAAGAGGATTGCAGACCCTACGAAGGCTCCCAGGAACTGGGCTCCTACATAAAAAGGAAATTTGAACCATTTCATCCGTCCAAAGAGACACATTGCAAAAGACACAGCAGGGTTGATGTGGCCACCTACAAGGAAGATAAGATGATGTTAAAGAGAGGGCAGATCGGGGAGAATTCTTAGGAAGAAAGTAATTCTTATCTAGAGACCTCAGCCCTCTGAGTAGGGATCCATATGTGAGGACACAGAGTGGTGTGTGTGTGTGTGTGTGTGTGTGTGTGTGTGTGTAAATGAGAGAGAGCGAGAGCAGAGAGAGAGAGCGTGAGCTTGAGTAGGGAGAAAGGGAGGACTAATAATCCTCATGGCATCATTAGACACTGTTTAGGATGTTTAGCTTTTTTATATAGAAAGAAACTTTTATTCAAGTGGCTCATTTTTATTTATCTGTCTATCTATCTATCTATCTATCTATCTATCTATCTATCTATGGATTTTCTCTATAAAGCAATAACCTCAAAGAGATTGATGTGAATTATTAACTTCAATATATCTTTTTAAAAAGTCGACAGACCTATACAGTCTAAATCTATATCTAGCAATTCCTCAGTCCATGTTCAGAAGATATATATTAAAAACAATCTTGGAAGTAAAAAGGGAGCTCAGATCTTGCTTCCCAGCATGTTGCCAGTTTGGCTCAAATAAACTGATAAAAATTTTAAAAATATATCAAAAAGAGATGTCTCTTTAAGGGGAAATGTCCCTTGGTTGGTAGGCTGAGCCCCTTCTGAGGTAACGGGCTCCGTTAACATTGAGGTGATCACAGTGTCTGAGTGGATTCTCTGCAGTTCTGCATAAACAATACCAGTATATTTCTCTCACACACAGACATAGCAGTGCTCCTGTCACCCCACCCTAAACCATGGCTAGAGAAATCAGCCTCCTTGATTCTCCTCTCCCCACAAGGTCAGACAGAATTTGCTCTGGTAAGTCACTAATATTCCCAGCTGGCTGTGCTAGTAACAACTTTCATTGAACACTTGCCAGATGCTATCACAGGGATAGTACATGCACTTGATCTTCAGAAGAACCTGGTGAGATGGGTACTGCTCCAGTTCACTGGTGAGGAAACTGAGGCACAAAACTAAAGTAACTTTCTTTTTTAAAAAAGATATATTTTATTGATTTTTTACAGAGAGGAAGGGAGAGGGATAGAGAGTTAGAAACATCGATGAGAGAGACACATCTATCAGCTGCCTCCTGCACACCTCTTACTGGGGATGTGCCCACAACCAAGGTGCATGCCCTTGACCAGAATCGAACCTGGGACCTTTCAGTCCACAGGCCGATGCTCTATCCACTGAGCCAAACCAGTTAGGGCCTAAAGTAACTTTCTTAAGGCTACATGGTTAAAAGTGGGAGAACTAGAATTCAAATTTAGGTTTCTCTGAACTCTAGGGCCTATGTTCTATGTTCTGTCACTTCCAGACCCCCCCCCTTTTCTAAATAGATTTTTATTGATTTCAGAGAGGTAGGGGGAGAGATAGATAGAAACATCAATGATGAGAGAGAATCAGTGATCGGCTGCCTCCTGCACGCTCCCCAACTGGGGATCGAGCTCGCAACCTGGTCATGTGCCCTGACCGGGAATTGAACCGTGACCTCCTGGTTCATAGGTCAATGCTCAACCACTGAGCCATGCTGGCCGGGCACTTCCAGACCTTCTGCACCAAGTTTATAAAGGCTTCTGCCTCCGTGGGCAGGGGAAAATAACAGTCACATGCATGTATGGGCTCCCTTCCTGTAAAAGTTGTCCATTTGAAGAATACAGGTGACCTTTTGTGTGGAGGGGAATTAGAATGCCTGTCAATGTGACCACATGAAAATGTGGACTTTTGGGCTACAGAAATAGTTGTAAACAAAGAGTGATGACAATGCTGATGATTATGATGATGTTTCATATGTGACCCTCCACAGCACCTATGGATGAGCTTGGTTTTGGAAGCCCTCCCTGTGCAGAAAACCATGCTTTTCCTGAGTCTCTACACCAAGGTGGGTTTGCAGTGGAGAGGGGTTCAGAATGCTGGCTTGCCAAAACCGGTTTGGCTCAGTGGATAGAGCGTCGGCCTGCGGACTGAAGGGTCTGGGTTCGATTCCGGTCAAGGGCATGTACCTGGGTTGCGGGCACATCCCCAGTAGGAGATGTGCAGGAGGCGGCCGATCGATGTTTCTCTCTCATCGATGTTTCCAACTCTCTATCTCTCTCCCTTCGTCTCTGTAAAAAATCAATAAAATATATTTTTTAAAAAAAAGGAATGCTGGCTAAACCTCAGGGTCCTTTCTATACTTGCCCCTGCCCCTCAGGGGCTAACATGAGCAAAAAATGCCAATATGCCAAAGCCCAGATGATTTCCTGAAGCCTTACAAACACATCACGTGTCTTGTTTTACTTTTAAATGCAAGAGAGTTATGATGCTGGAGACCAGCAGGAGTCCATGCACCAGGAAACCGGGGTTAGGAGCAGGGAGCACATAGGACAGTGGACAGTTCCTGAATCCCCCAAATAAAATACCTCCCCTTCGATAGGTTCACCAGTGGAAGAGTTGTTTGTTTAGCAAGCTCCTCTCCCAAAATAAAACTTCCCACAGGTAGGTGTTTGCTTTTTAGTCTCTTATAAGCACCCTGAAGCTGGAACTGTTATTCACCTTGGACTTCACATGCTGCAAAGCAGTTAGCAGGTGTTCAAGATATGAAAGTTGAGCTCTGGCAAGGTTGCTCAGTGGGTTGGAGCATTGTCCCTTACATCAAAAGGTGGTGGGTTCCATGGACAATAGGGTGGTGAAGGCCTTGGGGGGTGGCTAGAGGGGATCAATGGGGGGGAAAAAGGGGGGACATATGTAATACTTTCAACAATAAGGGTTAAAAAAAGGTGGTGGGTTCGATTCCTGGTCAGGACACATACCCAGGTTCAATCCCCCAGTTGGGGTGCATAGGGAAGCGAACCAATCGGTTTCTCTTTCCCATTGATATTTCTCTCTCACCCTCCTCTCTCTCAAACAAACAAATAAATAAAATCATATCCTCAGGTGAGGATAAAAAAAGATATAAAAGTTGAAGAGGCCGAAACCGGTTTGGCTCAGTGGATAGAGCGTCGGCCTGCGGACTGAAAGGTCCCCGGTTCGATTCCGGTCAAGGGCATGTGCTTGGGTTTCAGGCGCATCCCCAGTGGGGGATGTGCAGGAGGCAGCTGATCGGTGTTTCTCTCTCATCGATGTTTCTAACTCTCTGTCTCTCTCCCTTCCTCTCTGTAAAAAATCAATAAAATATATTTAAAAAAAAAAGTTGAAGAGATAAACAGTCAGAGGCCTTTATCCAGCTAGTTCAGACGACAAGGATTTACAGAGAGGGAAAGCTGGAGGTCAGGGAAGGTGTGTCTGGAAGGGCGCTTTGCAGAGCAATGAGGAAAATGTCTCCCAGCAGAGGTGAGTGGTCACTCTTGCTTACCCAAAGGACAGGGCAGAGCAGTGTACTGGAAAGAACAGCAGTGCCAGAGTCAGGGAGCGCCTCACTCAGAGGCTGGCCCTGCCAAGGTTGTGATGATCAGATTGTTCACACAAAGAGCCCCACAGGCAGTCGGAGCCCAGGGGGCCTGAGATAAAAGTCTTCTGTGAGCAGGCTGAACTCTCTCAAGGCTCTGTTCTAGACAAGTCCCCTCCTCCCCACCATCCACAGACAATTCTAGGATGGAGATAACCTTCATATGTTATTTGTCATGCAGCAAAGCTATTTTGATTCTTCAGTGAATTTATATTACTTATGAAATACTACATCAAAACAAGCACTGTAGCCTGGTACAGGTCAGTGGCGTAACACTGGGTGGAAGACGCTGCATAATGAGGGTGTCATGTCTGATTGGCAGGTTGGGTTCCCAGACCACTGGCATGTTCACAAGGGAAGCAGGGTGTGGTAACTTCTTTGCAGTCAGGTAATGTTTTATATTTCAAAACCAGATGTCAGCTCACCTTACCAGTCTGAAACCACAAAATGAGATCTCATTGATGGTTATGCCCCGTATGTTTGGTTGTTTTTGGAACCCTCAAAGAGGGCCTCGAAGGTGCCCACACACCATTAAGTTAGCTGCAGCCCTGTGAGAAAGTCATTTCCCACACACAACCTTCCTCTCCTATTCCTGTAGCTGCTGGAGCCAACACTGAGTCTGCATGGATGTCATTGGTGGGCCAGCGTGTTGTCTGCCCTTGCTCCCAAAGCCCCCAGTTTTCAGAGAGCCGAACTGTGCTATGTTCCCAAACAGAGAGGGGGAGATGAGCTCCCTTTCCGACCTTACCAGCCAGGCTCAAAAAAGCTCTATTTATATTTTGGGGTCTCACAGTCTCTCATAAACAATTTGGCCAGCTCCTGACCCTCACCCAGAAACAACTCTATTTAAAACAGTTCCATGCGTTCTGGCCCTCACCGCTCTGAGCACAGGCCCTTAACCCCAGTCCAGAGACCAGATGCAAACCAACCTTTACTCCCTCTTCTCCTTCCTGCTGGTTCTTCCCTTTCCTCCTATGGGGACGGCCCAGATTCCCCAAGTGCATCAGTGAATGCAGGCATGGACAGTGGTGGTGGCAAAAGGTGTTGGTTACATTGGTAGGGTGTGGGACAAAGCCATCTTAACTAAATATTTGACAATGTTCGATTCAGGGTGCCATGCAAGCAAAGTACTCCAAAACCACATGTCCACCAGAAAACAAACAAACACTCAAAAACTAGCTGAGAATATGCCCGCATTCATATCCCATGCTTTGTGGAAACCACAGGTGTGAATGGCGTGGGAGCACGTAAGGTGGCCACGGAGCATCCTGCGTGCTGGTTTTAATTCAGGAGCATGTCCTGTGTGGGGGGCTGAGGCCTGTGCTGGAATTAAGCCTGGGCACATTCAAGATGGTGCCCTGGTTCCTCTTGAGACTCAGATCAGCAGTACAGTCCTGGGAACACAGCAGAGGCTCGACGGGAGTTTGAACAGAAACATTGCTCATGCCAAACAAATGACATAGACAGGCATCTGTAACCTGGACTGTCCCAAGATTGGAGTCAACTGCGAGATGGAAAGGGTGCCAGCCGGCAAATGACAGTTCCAGGTACCCAGCCCAAGGAGGTTCCCAGGGAGGCTAGGCCATCATTCTTCAAGTGCTGCAATGAAGTGCCCTGCCTGTAACGCCCTTCCCATCATAGACTGTTGGGAATGTTGTGTAATAACGGGGACATGAACTTTGCTGTCATGGAGGCCCAGTCAAATCTTTGTCCTGTCCCTTTACCAGCTGTGAGACTTCTGGCAATTTACTTAACCCCTCGGAGCCCCAGTTTTCTCTGTAGAAGGGAGATGCTAATACCTGCCTCTGAGTCCTGCTGGAGAGGGGAGAGGAGGTATGTCCAGCAGCCAGCACAGTGCCCAGCATGCATGATTCCTTTTCCCCTTACCACCAACAGTCTTCTCCTAGTGTTCTGAACACCCAGACCAGGCTGCTGAAAGATCTCAAGAGCCTTTGGAACCAGATCATTCTCACAGTCCCTTCCCAAGTTCCCAGGCTGCTGGTCAATTAGCCCACCAGTCGAGGCAGAATTAGACCAAGACCTCTGGGCCAGACCTGCACTTGCATGAAAGCCCCAGCCAGTGACCCAGACGCTGTGGATGAAAGTCCAGGGACTGTGCCTCTGTGGAGTGACATCTTCACTGGGCTATTCACCCGGCCCCTGGGCAATAGTTTCCAGGGAAGAGCAAGGAAAAGATGGTACAGACAGATGGAAAGTATGATTCAGTGGGCAGATTCAGGAATCAGTTCTAACTCCCATGTCTGTCTCTTGCTAAAAGTTGCCCGTGCACACGTCACTTGCTATTTGCTGGACATTTTCATTTATCATCTCTGAAAATAGAACCAAACACATATTCTTGCAGGACTGTTGAGATCTAAATAAATGAAGGTACAGAAAGCACCCAGCACTGTGCTAGCACACGGAAATGGTTAAGATAATAGCAGCTGCTATTATTTCTGTTACTTACCAGAGACACCCCCAGTTACATAGATGGCCATGACGACCGCCATTGCAAATCCAACATTAATAGTGACGATTCCTCCAAAATGTCCTCGACTGAGGACGGCCTGAGCAACACAGCCACATCCGAGGACCTGGAACGAGAGGAAACTCAACAACTGAGTGGAGATGGCCACTGTCAAAGACTTTGACAAAGTAACAAGAAGTACTTTGTAAGCAAATTTGTGGATTTGGCTGCCACAGGCTTTGTGCAAATCAAATTATAATGCTCTGGCTGTGCACAGATCCTGAGGAGTCAGAGCTGTCTCAACAGCACGTAGCACATGACATGCAGAGCCTGCAGGATGACGGTCCCCGGCCTGCACCTGGCTGACGGTGAGTTTTCTTGGGCCTGCGCAGTGTTAAGATTTTGCCTACATTTATGAATCAGATAACTTCACACAATGATCCAGGTTTCTGGCTTTTATATTATTATTATTATTATTATTATTATTATTATTATTATTATTTGCTTTTATTTTAAATCAAACTTTTAATCTTTAATAATAAAAGGGTAATATGCAAATCGACCGAACAGCAGAATGACCGTCTGGACGACCATGCTATGACATGCACTGGTGCCAGGCCAGCCAAAGCGGGTGTGATGCAATTGGTGGGGGGCCCCGCCATCGCCCCACGATCGCCTGCAGAGGGAGGCCCAGGCCACTGGCCAGTGATGCTGTGGCAGGTGTGCGAGGCTGGCCAGCTATTGCACCCCACACCTGTTGCCCACAGAGGGAGGCAACCAGTGGTGGGGGAGGGGGGCAACACCGCACAGATGGCAAGTAGTGGCAGCGGTGGGGGCAGGGCCAGCTGCCAGCAGCCAGGGGAAGGAAAGCCCTGATAGGCCCTGAGCACCAGCCAGGCCTAGGGATCCTACCCGAGGGGTCCTGGATTGCGAGAGGGCACAGGCTGGGACTCTAGTTTTCAGATAATTGTAGATTCACATGAGGTTGTAAGAAATAAAACAAAAAGACCCCATATGCCTTTTATCCATAGATTCCTTTTAATCAATCAGATCTTGCAACCCATAGGGAAAGAATATCCTGGAGCAAAGTAGCAGTTGGCTACCCCTTTAAACAGAGCTGTGCTCTCCCAATTGGCTCCTCCACTTTGCCCACTTAGTTCTCCTTCCTGTTCCCTATGGGCACCTGAGCTTGCGATCCCCAGTATAGGCCAGGTCAGTCTCACAATCATATGCACATCTAACAGGCAGAAAGTTCATTTAAGCCATATGCAAGGCTATTTATTAGAAAGAGTCTGATGTGCTGGAAAACCAGGGAAAACTGCAGGGCAATTGAAATGGCAATCAAGCCTTCCTCATCCCATGTCTTTTCTTTCTGATTGGGCTACAGTTTGCTGGGGAGCAGAGGCTGCCCAATTTACTGCTTCTGGTATTCACCATGGCACCAAGCACATTGCTGTAAGCCAGGGGTGGGGAATATGTGGCCCGCGAGCTGTATAAGGCCCACAGAATCATTTGGTCTGGCCCTGCCAAGGCATTAAGGGTGAGTTAAATATAGCAGGCTAATTTTTAAGTTGATAATTTGTAAGGCCCGAAAATGAAGTTGTAAATACCCATATGGCCCTGGGAAGAAAAAGGCACTCGGGAAGCAGCTGTACCATGGAGATGAAGTATGATAGCCTTCAAATATTACACAGTATTCTGTACAGTGTAGTGAAATAGAATGAGGAAGATCTGTGTGTACCAAGGTATATTACTACATTTAAAGACAAGATGCAAAGCAGTGTTAAAGCACACTGCCAAACTGTATTAAGAATACATTATATATATTTCTTTCTATATGCCTCAGCTGTCTCCGTGAATACATGCATCAGGAAGTGAGATGGCTGAGACAGGTGTCAGAAGAAAACTGTTCCTTGTATATCCTTTTTCTTTTTTACCATGTGTCTTAGTCCATTTGTGGTGCTCTAACAAGATACCGCAGGCTGGATAGCTTATAAGTAATAGAAACGATTTCTCACAGTTCTGGAGGCTGGAAGCCTCAGACCAGGGGCCCGTATGATCAGGTGAGGTCCTCATGCAGGTTGCAGACTTCTCTCTGTGTTCGCACATGGTGAAAGGGCAAACCAGCTCTCTGCGAGGTTTTTTTATAAGGGCGCTTAATCCTACCCCTGAGGGCTCTGCCTTCATAGCCTAGTTATCTCCCAAAGGCCTTACCTCCTAATACCATTACCTTGGGCATTAGATTTTCAACAAATGAAATCGGGATGGGGAGGGGAAGCACAAACATTGAGACCATAGCACCGTGTATTTTCTACTATTTAAAAAATGTGTTAAATATAAATAAATATATAAATTGTCTATGTATTTATTGAATAACCAATTTAAACCATTTAATCATGGTCCATTAAGGAAACATTTCGTAAGAAATGGATATATATAAAAGAATGAAATCAGCCATGACAAGAATGAAATCTTGCCATTTGGAACAATATTGATGAAACTTGAGAACATGATGGTAAGTGAGACAATACCAGCTATTGTATCTCTTCACAAAGAATGAGAAGGGAAGTTGGAAACTGAACTATGAGAGGTTGCACATGAACAATTTCCTGATAGTGATCAATTAATTCTAAATAGCTTTCCCAAGGCTCATTGGTAAGGTCCTTAGAGAAATGCAGTTTGCAAACACGGGATATTTAATACATCTGGGATGATTTACTCCTCCTCGAAGGCAGAGAAAGTATCTAGAAGACCTTTTAAACCCCCTTGCAGTCCCCAGTCCCAAGATACACTGACTGTGTTAGTTCTAACGGCAAGGCAGTAGAGAGAAGAGGGAGGACTTGTTATTTCCAGGGAAGAACTCAGGCTGCCTTTGACTTTCATCCCAGGCTTGGCTCCAGACCCTACATTGGATGCCAAATAAACTTGCAGCAGAAACATGTTCTCTTCTTTCTTAAAAAAAAACAAAACCTCTAGGTTCCGCGCATAGCAGGAGGGAAAGAAAAAATCTCAATGGAAAAGAAATCCACTTGAAAGGCAGAGCTCCTACAAAGGACTGATTGGTGGGCAAGGTACCCCGAGTCATCCCCAAACACCCAGGCCACGCATTCTGGAATCCTTTAGCATTCTGTCCTCTTCTCTTCGCCACCCATAGCCAACCATTCCCAAACCTTCTGAGCCTTCTTCTGCAGCCTCCGACTAGTGTCCCCACTTCTAGTGTCTCCCCACCTAGTGACAGATGAGGCATGGCTCATCCCCTCCCTTCCCCCATTGCTCAGAAAGTGCCTGCACAAACCCCTCAGCACCCAGGGGCTCTCCAGTGCCTTGCTCCATGTTCCCCGGCCACTTTCTGCCCAGTATGCTTCAGCATAAATCTTCTGTATCAGCCAGGCTGGCATCCTAGTCACTTCGAGTGCTTTGAACTCATGACACGCATTCCCACCTCTGTACACCTGCTCATACTATGCCTTCCAGCAGAAACTTTTTGCCCTGCACCCTCCTCAACCAAACTCATTCTATTCTATACAATGAGCTAAAATCCTCCATTTTTTGTGTGGGAATTTCTCTGACACTTTAAGTCCTCAAGGGCTCTTCTGGTTCTTCTACCATGTTTTTACAATGTCATTTCAGTATATTCCACTTTGCCTTGGGGTATCCCACCAAGACTAAAGTGCCCACTCGGGCAGCTTGGGCTTCTTTATATTCCATGCTTAAACAATATTTGATGAAAGATATTAAAATATCTAAATACGAGCCGAAACTGGTTTGGCTCAGTGGATAGAGCGTCGGCCTGCGGACTGAAGGGTCCCGGGTTCGATTCCAGTCAAGGGCACGTGCCTGGGTTGCGGGCACATCCCCAGTGGGAGATGTGCAGGATGCAGCTGGTCGATGTTTCTCTCTCATCGATGTTTCTGACTCTCTATCTCTCTCCCTTCCTCTCTGTAAAAAATCAATAAAATATATTTAAAAAAAATATCTAAATACGAGCATGGAAAAAACCCAGCATAATTGCCTTTTCAAGAGAAAAAGTTAGTTTGGGGTAGAATGTGAAAGTGGGAGGTGCGATTTCTAAGAAATGTCAGTGGGACTGCTGGGAAGTTCCCAACTGAGCCGTGACCTCTATGACAAGACAATTACTGGACACAATGTGAAACCTAATGTGATGAAGTGATGCTCATGATCCACAATGCTGGGGATGGGGAGAGCGAATAATAAACCCACAGATTTTCTTTCATTTGACCTTTCTCCAATCTCTGGCACATCTATTACTTCCTTTAAGGTGTAGACCAAGATGTTCCTAGCACAGTACACAGCCCAAAACACACTCAATAAGTATTTTTCCAGTGAGTATGTAAAAACTGAGCCCTGCCCCGCTGGTGTGGCTCAGTGGTTGAGCATCGACCCATGAACCAAAAGGCCACAGTTCGATTCCTGGTCAGGGAATACGCCCAGGTTGCAGACTTGATCCCCAGCAGGGGGTGTTGCAGGGGCAGCCAGTCAATGATTCTCTGTCATCACTGTTGTTTCTATCTCTCTACCCCTCTCTATTCCTCTCTCCAAAAAAAGTCAATTAAAAAACATATATTTTTTAAAAAAATAAATTTGCCTGAGGACAAATAAAGATATTCTTAAACCCAATTTTAACATTTGTGTTCAAAGTTTCATGTTCCTTCACTTATACTGAACTGCCCTCACCTGTATCTGAGCCAAATAAGTAGTTTGTCTAGATTTGTGCTGTAGGAGTCTGTCTTTCAAAACACCAAATTGTCAGAAACTAAGATCCCCACCCACACCTACAAGGAGCTCTAACTGGGAGTTGGCCGTCACTCGACCATTTCTTCCTTTCTCTCCTCCATGTGTACATTTGAAAATTCTAAGTGCCATGCATGGTATCTGGTACAAGCAAGGATGCAAAAAAACAAAACAAACAAACCACACACAGCCCTAGCTGGTTTGCTCAGTGGATAGAGCATTGGCCAGTGAACTGAAGGGTCCAGGGTTCGATTCTGGTCAATGGCACATACCTGGCTTGCGGACTCGATCCCCAGTTGGGGGCGTGCAGGAGGCAGCCAATTGATGATTTTCATCATTGATGTTTCTCTCTCTCTCCCTCTCCCTTCCTCTCTG